CTTACAATAAATCATTTAATAAAATAGGAATAAATTCTTTATTTCTCGAGCTGCAGCCACATATCGTGAACTAATTCTGATTCCAGTTTTACTTGATTGGTAGAATTTTTGGAACTCTCGAATTGAAATCTGACTTTACAATCAAGCACACCCAAAGTTTGATAACTCTAGGCCTTATAGTATTAAAGTTTTAAGCTGTAGTTCACGTTTTTGTACAGATATTCTAGATTCTATGTCTCAAACCTTCTACATGAGCCCAAAATGAACAAGTCAATTAAAGTAGTTCTATACCCGCACTACGTCATTTACGAATAATAAAACCGGAACCGCGCGTCCTTTTTCCGAGATGAGAATTTTTAACTATATTGGTTTGACTTTTACTTAGCGTTTTAAATATCTGGTAACGATTTTGCTCGAAGTCGGTCGCGTCATGCAACAAACACATATTGTACAGTTTAAGGATAAATTAATTAAAAGGAGGGGCTGGTGACAACTTTCGGTTGACAAAATTAATTAGGTAATAAAACGATATTTCTGTGAATGATGCATGTTGATATGCCGCGTCGAAAACACGGACCATATACATGCTACATAAGACCATGACTGTGTCAAACTATCGAGGCGACTTTTGTCGGCGGCCAAGTTGAAGCTAATAGCGACAATTGGGAAGAAAAGTAATGACTACGATTTAAATAATAATAATTGCATAAAACACATACCCCTCCCCCAACCTGTTTACCCACGAATCCCAAATGCAAAATTATCTTTTGAATAAGTATTTGACAAATGTTGATTCACTTGCAGCATACTTTGTTACTTTCTGTAACAAAATCATCCAGTTTCTGAGAATCAGTGAATTACTTTCATTTTTATCTTCTCCAATTTAAAGACAAGTGTGTGTGTGTTTTTTTTTTTGTGTGTAAAATAAGATAAATTTTGGGGACAATAGGTTATGGGTGTGTATAAGTATTGTTTTAAATAATGTACAAGCTTGTTAATACAAGTATACACTCAAACATTAACAGTATTACAGAAATATGTGGCAATACATTACTTGTGGTAGAAAGAAAATAGGGGGTGCCTTTAGTGTAAAGCTCATACCACGAAAAGTAATGCGTCAACATATCATTTTTTTTAACTCATTTTTTTCTGAAACATAATTAAGTAAAAATAATGCAAATTTCCGAAGTTTGAGTCCATAATTTTTTTTTAAATGACCGTGATTGTCCTGGGAAGCATATTTTCTCACATTAAATTTTGATACAATAGCCTAACCAAGTGCATCTATTTATAATGATTCATGCAAAACAATGATATTTCATTGTTTAATAACATGTTTCTACTCTATTTTGGGTATTAAAGTTGAATATTTAGACTTACATTAATTTATATACAACAAAATATAGGATAGGTAAAATTTAGTATTTTACATTTCGAGGTATATACTCCAATAGGCTATAGCGGAAAAGTGAAAATGTTGACATATAATTTTTCTTGTGTCTATCCATTGCTGGGATGTATGTCTATCTTATAAAAGCAGATTTTTAAAGATTGAGCCCATTAAGTGCCGAGTATAGAACTACCTTAAAAATTTTTTAAAAATCTGTAAAATGCAGAAAAATGAACAAAAAGAGTTGAAAATTCCAGGTGCACAACTTCATATGGTAAATAATAATTGTACAAATTTTCAGATTAATCCTTGCAATGGTTTCTGAGAAAAGGTCAAAACAAAACCACAAAATAAAAAAAATGAAAAAAACACCTGTAAAATTCTAAATAATAATCCAATCAAGATGAAAAATATCAGGTGCACAACTTCATATGGTGAATTATATGTGTACAACTTTTCAGACAAATCCTTCCAATAGTTTCTGAGTAATGGTCCGGACAAAATCTCGTCTACAGACAGACGGACATGGTGATTCCAATATACCCCCTCCTAAACTTCGTTTGCGGGGGGTACAAAAATTGTTGATTAATTATGACATTTAGAGTTGCGTACCACATTCTGTTTTATCAGTGTATTAATTTACTAAATAATCTTTATGTTCAATGTGTCACTAAAATTCCTTGATGCGCTTCTTTTTTTGAAGAGTTTATAAAGTGGCATGCAAGTAAACTATATTAAGAACATAAGGAGAATTATTCAAGGATCATAATTCTCTTTAATGCTGTTGTAGAGTTTCAATTCCAATCTGCTTAAGTACTTCCCTCTTCGTTTAGATATAAGAACAAACCAGTAGAGTTTTAGTCGGAAACTTTTGGTTTTTAGCTCACCTAAGTCGCTCAAGTGAGCTTTTCTGATTTTGCAGGGCGTTTGTTTGTCTGTCTGTCTGTAAACTTTTCAAATTCTCGACTTCTTCTCAAGAACTGCTGTGCCAATTTCAACCACACTTGCCACAAAGTATCTTTGGGTGAAGGGGATTCAAGTTTTTTTTTATTTCAAATGGAGGGCCACGCCCTCATTCAAGGAAAGATCGATTGATTGATTATTGTTGTTTTACGCCGAGTCGGCAGTATTTCAGCCATGTTTCGGCGATTAAATAAGTTTGATCTTTTTTGAAATTTTTGGGTTTCTCTGGTGGCCCCCAGTGAGCCTACTCTTTTTCAAAAACCAGAGAAACGATCTTTTTCGTGCCATATCCTTGACACGGGGCACCATTTAACGTCCCATCCGAAGGGCTTTAACTTTGAAAATATATAAACAGTTACAATGTATAATTTTAACAGTTAAAAAATATATACAACATTGTTTCATCATTTTAAATTTTGCAGAAAAAAATCAGTTTCATGTAAAAACTCTAAAATCGTATAAACATATATTTGCAAAAAGTTCATGCTTTGTTTGTTCATTTTTAAAGAGTCTGTCTAGACAACGAGAAAAATCGATACATTCCAAAAGAATATGACTGATAGTTAACGGACATTCGCATGATATACATTCTGGTTGCAATTCCCGAGTAATTAAATATTCATGAGTAATTTTTGAATGACCAATACGTATTCTAGAAATAATCACTTCGTCTTGGCGTTTCAAGCCGAAATTATATGATTTGTTGACTTTGTTTTCTATAGCATAAAGTTTATTTGTATCACAGAATTCCCAATAAATTTGCCAAAGTGAGTTTACATAAAGTTTAACAAAATATTTCATGTCAGTGTATGGTATTTTGAAAAAGTCAAGTAAAGATAATTCGAAATTAATGAAAATTGAGTGATATTTTAAAAATCTTCTCAAGAACCACTTTGCCAGGAAAGATGAAATTTAAGGGGATACATCCTCAGGTAGTGTTGATTCAGGTTTGTTCAAAGACCCCCAAGGGTAGGGCGAGGCCAAAATGGTCGATCTAAGTTTTACATAGAAATATATAGGAAAATTCTATAAACATCTTCTTCTCAAGGATGACAAAGCCATAATTCATCATATTTATAAGGAAGCAGGTTAAGGTAGTGCGTATAAAAGTTTGATAAATCATGACGCCCCGTGGGGATCCGGGTAAGAATTGGTCCTCAGTACCCCTTGCTTGTCGTAAAAGGCGACTAAATAGGGCGGTCCTTCGGATGAGACCGTATAAACCGAGGCCCCGTGTCACAGCAGGTGTGGCACGATAAAGATCCCTCCCTGCTCAATGGCCCTGAGTGCCGAGCATAGGCCTAAATTTGCAGCCCTTCACCGGCAATGGTGACGTCTCCATATCAGTGAAATATTCTGGAGAGGGACGTTAAACACTATACAATCAATCAGGACGTTAAACACTATACAATCAATCAATCAAATCATGACCCCTAGGGGTAGAGCGATGCCAAATGGCCAACCAAAGTTTTACATAGAAATATATAGGAAAATTCTTTAAACATCTTCTCAAGAATGACAAAACCATAATTCATCATATTTATATGGAAGCATGGTCAATTTTGTTTCAATCATGACCATCAGGGGTAGGGCAAAAATGGCCGACCAAAGGATATAAACAATAATGATATTCAGTTCTACTTATATTTGAAATATGCGAAATCAATGAGGACTTCCAGTTCTATTTATAGAAACAAAAAACAAGGAAAATATTTGTATTTCTATCTCGCTACAATTGCCAGAGCTACTCTGAAGTCATCTGGTTTATAACGTGCAGAACACCGAAAAAATAAAACGTTCCGAACACATAAATTGGGGTGTTCCACATAAATTCCAGCTTTTCTGGCCAAGTGGTTCTTACCAAAAAGGTGTTTAAGGTAGGTCCCTACTCATAGAAATAATGGTTTAAGGAGGCTAGAGGGTCAACTAATTAATCCCAATTTAACCACCAGATTTAACTTTTTTTTTAAGATACGGTATCTTTAGCTGTGAACTTTCATTTGATTGGAATAGTCGAAAAATGGCTGCCACCCCCAAGCCTCGTTAAATAGCATTTTTCTCTTAGAAATTATTAGAATAACACTTAAACTAAATATAAAGCATAAAAAATAAATAACTTTTCATGCTATTTTTTCAAATTACAGTGCCCTATTGACTTATACCCCCTTCTTTCATCATACTATTTCAACCATGTTCAATACATGTACGTGGCTCATATTAAAAGCAATATCAAAGCAAAATAAATTTCAAATGTATTTATTTATTTATTTATTTATTATTATTTAGGAAAGGCATCACCAGTCTTATATGTGAATATCTATTTTATAACATAACTTTTTTTGGAATATGATATCAATTTGATGCTTGAAAATTTTCACAATATCGTAATTTTTACACATCTTTTTATAAAGTAATGGACCTTTTTTTTATTTGAAATATTAGATTTACGTCCATTGCAACTAAAAAGCAAAAAAAGTACTTTTCAGGCTTTTTATTTTTCTACACCTTCTAGATCATGTATACCCCCTTTTCAATCGAACACTTTCAACTCAAAAATTATCAGTAACAAAAACATTTTGGATAAAAATCACACTTTAATATCATTTTTATGCATTATAAAAAATAACAAGTAAATCAGGCAAAAAATCATTCAAATGCATTTTTGACAACTCGTCAATAATTGAAACATTTTCATACATGTACAAATATGCCTAAACCAAAGCAACATTCTCAGGCATGCAGTCAAATACAAACAATACATATACATGTACATTACTAGTTCTACTATTACCAGAACAAGACATAGACAAAGTTGTTACATCTATCAATACTTATACATGTATGCCTAATGTACTGTAATGAACAAAATGACAATGCTCACGTGATACCCCTGCAAACTGAAAAAATGTCAGAAAGTCAGATGCATAGAAACACATATACAAAGGGAAAAACAGTTGATCCCCTTTCTTTTAACAAGAATTTAAGAAGTCTATAACCTTGTTTATCACATAATTTGATTTAGTAATACGTGCCTTCTTTGACCCTGACACGGACTCGCTAAAAACATTCCTAATACCATTATGGGGGTCTCTTTAATGTAAAAGCTTCAGCTTATTTATACTGAGTAAATAGAAAACAAGTCTTTTGAACATGAGACCTGAACTCACACTCTTACAAACAAGAGGTTGAAGTGATGATTTTACATCATAATATGCCAAGCTAAAAACATCAGAAGAATCACACTCTACAGCCAAAATTTTCTCATAAAGCTGTTAACTGGAAACATCAAACATGGCATTATGTGCATCATAATCTACCCCTAAGATACTTTTCACTAGTGTCTCTTGCTTAAAATTAGACACACTTGCCTTATCAAACACTTTCTTTGATAATTCATAAGTATCAATAGACCCTATAATTTCATTCTGGAAATTTTTCAACATGTCATATCCTTTAAATTATGCATCAAAACTGGTACATCAAAATTTTGAATGTTGTGTCCAATCAAAAATGGTTTAGCACATGATGCAACAAACTGTGTGAAACGCCTGAGAACATCTTCAGCACTGACAGACTCTACAGGATGTCCATGACGTTTCAGAATTCGACCTTCAAATGTCAATCCTGTTACTTGGGAAGCACCCTCTGAAATTCTTTTGCTTGGTTTCATATGAATGTTGAGGGATTTTTCACCACAAATAGCAGCAATTTTAACAATGTCTGATGTTCGTTCTGAAATGAAAAAAAATGTAATGTAATCACTCCACTTGTTTCAACTATGGAGGTTTATGAATGGTCTACAATCAGTCAAATGTACTTATAATCAAATGATTAAATGACATTTGAATAAATAAAAGAAAAGCTTTACCAAATGTGACTGTAGAAATAAAATACCTTGCATATATGATATAATGAAATACCCCCTTTCATATAAACCAAACCAAGCAAAAGAGTTTTCGAACACTTACGGAATCATGTTGTTTCTAAGTCAAAGTACATGAGGGAGCTAATCTCTGGTGATGGTTTCAAGGGAACAACACCGATGTCCTCCAAATCAGCTTCAGCATCATCCAAACCTACTTTAGACCTATATGTAACACCTATAAAAGAGATTGTAGATCAGCATTCATAAATGACATTAAAAACTATTTTAACAAACAACAAATCGATAGTTTACAATGAGCAAACCACAAATATAGCAAACCTTCTAAAACTGACTGTAAAGCGTCCTTTGAGATTCTCTCTGCTTTTAGCTCTAAGCGTCTTCTTTGGTGTGTGTTAATTATTGTTATTATTTATTAATAATGCTGGTGACTGGGTGGAATACTAACTGTCTACGATTGAGGATGTATGTACAGTATGTGATGAGTTACTGAGTATTTAGAATTGAATCTATCGAAGCTTTAATAGTTTAAAATCGTTAGACTTTATTTATTCCAGTAAAGGAAACGTGGAAGAAATAAGTTACGATTTAACATTAGTGAATTTCCCTTCTGCAGTAGTTCTTACACACAAGAATAGAATGAGGGTCAATTAGGAATAGATATACGTTAAAGCTTAAGTTGGGAGTAATTTTCGACCTTTTCCAAGAATCCAAACTTAGTACAAAACATCATTGGGTAAATTGGATATTGAATTTTTAAATTAAAGAACAATCTCTTTCCAAGGGAAGAAAATGGGGTTGGGTCTTGAAAAAATCATAAAAAAAATAGTGGTTACTACATCTTCAGACCACTTATGTAGATCCTTACTACTTTTTTTCGTACCCAGTCTTGAAATAAAAGCGAGAATACTGGCTATTCTACATAAAGTAAAAGGAAATATCACAATATCAAATGTGCTTTACTGACATTATTATTTAATTATTTGCCAAGATTTTTCGCAGCATGCCATACTTCATGACTGTGCTTTATATCTGCATGATCCTTTAACAGTAAGGTTAAACGAGTCTGTTATATACACTATTTTTCAACCAATGTTTTTACCCATGTTCATAATTATGTTGCAAAGAGTCTTTCCTTGAGAACACTTCTTGCTCAACCCTCTTCGTTACTGTACTCTCTCTTACATGGCAGCCACACATCACATGGATTTTCCCTCCGACTTGACTGGCGGGAATAGCAACTACCTTTTTTCTAGTAGATGTAGCTCTTGCCATCCCATCAAATTACAGCTGTTGGAATATTTTGTGGCTTTCTGCAAAATGTCCATCATCCTAGACTAAAAAGTATAATCCCTCCCTTACACTCTATTGAAAAAATGTCTTTCCATAAACCGTACTTCTAGGAAAATTGACTACAAAAAAGTAAAAATCAAGCAATGAAGAAATTCCTTTCAAGCAGTTGAAGTTGAAAGATAAATCAAGCTCTATTCAAGTTTTGAGTGAATAGAGATTTGGCCACCTTTCCTGTAGAAAAGGGAATTATGTCCAACTCAAAAACTTGTATAAAACTTCTACTTTTAACTCTTAGACAGAAAGCCAAGTTCCAATTCTGTCGAATTAAAAAGACAAATCAGCTGTACTGGTAAGCAATTGTAATTAATATCCTTTATTTTTTTTTGGGGGGGGGGGGGGCAACAACAATAACATCACTACATTCAGCTATTCTTACATATAATAATTTACTTTTCTCCTATTAATTAAGTAGATGACATTCCACCGGAAGACAACAATTATGTTGTAAGATTTTGGCATACAGAACATGTACACCTACAGGTAAATAAAACAATATGGCCCCCACTCTGCAAGCGCCCTATAATGATCAATTTGTCTATCCATCTGTCCATGTCCAGTGCAAGTGTTCTCTCACCTTTACCCTCAATCCATTCTGTGTTTTCAGATGTGTACACTGACCTTCAACCATGTTTCTAGTTCTAAAATAGTTTTAAGTCTCCTGTCATTTACTAATTCTTAATATGTGATCATTTTTGTAAATAACATATTAAAAATCTCAGACGCATTCAGAGGAAGTGAAACAATTGTGTCTGAAGATGGCTGAAAAGAATTAAATCCTGGAGCACAATTTCCTCCGACCAGCACCACAAAAAACCATGCTTCTGACTGGTTTGTCTGTTGAAAGTGCAGAAAAATGCCCACAAATACTGAGAAAATGTGCTGCAAGAAAGACAGATGTGTTTCATTTTTACCAGTAAGTTTGGCACTGCTTTCTCTTACAGACCAAAACTTATGAATTGAAGTTTTGTTTGTACAATTTTAAATAGATAATTAATAGTTTACTTATACTTCATACTTTTCCATTTTTACATATGTAATATCCACACAGCATTGTGTATCAATTTTCAGGAAATATGAATGCATGTAAATACTTTTCCTGACTCATTCAATAACGTTTTTTTAAAAAGGACTTTGCTGTACTTATTTTCGAGACTGTTTTGGCACTCGGCAGGACGTATGGGAGAGACGTGTTGGTTTTCGATGATGCAGAATGAACCAAAGTCAACAAACATCGAGGAAACAGGCAGTGTGTCTACGGTTAGGGGCTGGGGACAGGAGAGTGATACCTTCCTGTTGTGTGTGGAAGATAATGGACAAATATCCTGATCCTGGTCGATTGGGCTATATCCATCAACCAAATCATGTCCTTTAAACTAAAGACGACATTTCAAAAGTCAATGGTAAACTATAAAAGGAACCCTTAAACGATTTTATTGAAAAGGAAACTTGAGGTGGCCTTAATTCAATCAAAACTGGATATAACTCGGCTCAGACAGAGCTACAGATCTGTCCACAAAATTCAGATGTTAAATGTCTTGTTGGGACCCCCAAAAAGAAGTAGAAGAATAACAGATTGTGTCAATTGAAGTTTCTTCTAAATATTGTCAAGATTCTGAAAAATTAGAAACCAGTAAGAGATGAATAATTAAAATGAATATCTCAAAAATAACTCAATATATCAAATTCATATCATTTATGTTTCTTTTGTGTTTTTTTTTTTACTTGAAAAAAAGTACCAATTTTGTTTTTGTATAATGTTGGTGGTACGTTTCTGATTATGAAAAACAAATAGAATCTACTGATGAATCGTTCACTGACAGGGTAGATGATGGACGTCAAATGGGAAAATCCCTTTTTTGACTTAAGAGCTCAAAGGGTTACAGATTTTCTTATTGGTTATATGCATTAAGTCTGTTTAGGTGTTATGAATAGAATGCTGTTTCTTTAGATTAAGGGACCGTTAACACGCAGACTTGGTACTCAGGTGTTTGAGCAAATGTATCGCATCTGGTCAACCTATCGAATCACATACCAAGTGATTTTGTAAGAAAGCCAAGGACTGTAAAAGATATTGACCGCTGGAAGGCTAATGAACTCCGACAGTTTTTGCTCTTTTCTGGTATTGTGGTCTTGAAAAACACTTTACACTTTAACATGCAACTGTTTTATTATACCAAAACAATCATAGTCAATTCACACACTTTACAATTTAACATGCAACTGTTTTATTATACCAAAACTTTTCACTTTAACATGCAACTGTTTTATTATACCAAGACAATCATAGTCAATTCAAGACTATGTCAACACAAAAATATAGAGTAAAAATAAATTAAATGGACAATTGCTGTCTTGTAAATGGAAAAATTCGTTTGATACAGAATAATGTAAAGAAGGATGGTGACATTTTCCTGGTTATGAAAACATTTAGGCAGAAGAAAGGCTTTTTTTTACATATCCTCTAATGTTATTAAGAATTACTGAAGTGTCTCAACTGAATGTAGGCTACCAAACTGCAAAACTGTAATAAATACAAGCAAAATATGCCTTACTTCCTTCTAAGGGAAACTATGTTGCTATTCATTTTTCTGATGCTGTTTGGAGACTATTCCTGTTATAAATTTACAAACTGGTACATACTAGTACATACATGCATTCAATATTAAAGTCACTTATACATGTATATTTTGTGTTTATTTTTCCATTTCTTTTATGGCTCTGTAAATACATGTACCTGTAAGGTAAAGAAATTTATAATTTTTTTTTTCAAGTCTGCTTGCAAGTATGTCTTAGTTGAATTCACTGACGAAAAGGAATAGAAGTAGTTCCTTATATATGGTTGAAAGATAGTGCAAAGAAATGCCGTTGGCCACCATTCAAGTAAGAACAGAAAATACAGCTTGCCGTAAAGCAATACATTATTCCAAGCAGTGACTTCAGGGATCTGCCTGTAAAGGTCTAGTACAGAACAGGTTGGTTTCTGACTTAGAAAAAGTAATATACAATGAAGCTCATTTTATTGGTGTATATTAAAAGTTAAGAACAATAATGAAATGTGACATGTCCATTTCTAAAAAAGACAAGGTCATTCAGAGAATTTGTGTCCCCCGCAGTTGGGTGGGGGAAAGGGGTTCGGATCCTCTTCACTGAATTTGTAGAATTATTTAATGTATACAAATGTATGCATACAATGTAAGCAAATAAAATATACATATATCATATGGCTTCGAGGGCGACATACCAGAATATTTGCCCCGAGGTGACAGGAAGCCCTGGAGTGTTATGTCACCCAGTGCCGAAGGCATCGGGTGACATAACACTTCAGGGCTTTCCTGTCACCGAGGGGCAAATTTTCTGGTATAGTCGCCCGAGATGCCATGTGGTATATGTTATATGACATTTTTAAAATTAAAAGAAAATTCAAAATCATTCAAAATCGTTAGAATGTACACAAATAATCCAAAAATGCATTCTTGACGTTAAGAAATACGCTGTGTTGTTTACTTTTGCTTAGCAACCGAGGTCATAAAATCTCGAACCCGAACTAAAATGCGTAACGTATAAAACACGTGAACGTGATCGAAATAGTGACATAACTGTTTCCGGCCGGACATAACTGTTTCCGGTGTGACTCGGCATTTTTCAGGGTTTATAGCGAAACTTACTACATTTGTGATATAATAGAAAAACATATTCAAAAATGTTATATACTTAAATGAAAACAAAGGTTTGATGGATTATTCTTTATTATGTGTGTAAAAGATTCTTTATATATGAAATATTTATCACACTGTAATGATGAAATTATTAGTTTAAACAAGCCAGACCTCATTAATTTTTCTTTCAAATAATTTCCATTTTATCAGCATTATCAATATTGCCTAGCTGACAGTTAAAATCTCCACATAGTATAATATTTTCATTGAAACAACTCAGCTCAGTTGATATACGAGTTGGTTTTACGCCGGTAAGTGCTTCTTTTTTAATTCGCGGACTCTAATCCACCTGGCACCACACTTTAAAAGTTTAATATC